AGCTACCACGCCGGGGTAGGTAGGGTTAGCGTAAGCTACCACGCCGGGGTAAGTAGGGTTAGCGTTAGCTACCACGCCGGGGTAGGTAGGGTTAGCGTAAGCTACCACGCCGGGGTAAGTAGGGTTAGCGTTAGCTACCACGCCGGGGTAGGTAGGGTTAGCATTAGCTACCACGCCAGGGTAAGTAGGGTTAGCGTTAGCTACCACGCCGGGGTAGGTAGGGTTAGCGTTAGCTACCACGCCGGGGTAGTCAGCCTTTATAACAGGTCCAAGTGTCGTAGCAGTGATATTTGCACAGTTTATATTGAGATGTCTATGAACCTCTATACAGCTCAGTTCAGATGCAAGGCAATTCAAAGTGCTTTACAAAGGCAGAAGGATACATTTAAATAAAAGACATTAAAATCACATTTAAATGTAAAAAGACCCCCTAAAAACCAAACAAACAAATAGTTCATTGAAAAGAAGTTATATTGCAGTGACAGTGACTAAACTAATTTAATTACTGAACAGCCACAGCAGACAGTAATGTTTTAAGCCCTGATTATAATGAGCCGACAGTGTTAGCAGACGTCAGGTCTGCAGGAAGCTCGTTCCACAGACGGGGAGCACAGAGAGTGAAAGTTGCTTCACCATGCTCGGTCGTTCCTGGGAACGCTGAGTAAACCTTCCCCATATGGCCTCTGGGGTCTGGATGCTTCATAATGTTCAAGTAAATCAGAAATATATTTGGGCCCGAGACCTTTTAGTGTTTTGCACACAAGTAATAATATTTTAAAATCAAGCCTGTGATGCACAGGAAGCCAGTGCGGTGACTTAAGGACCGGCGTGATATGCTGTATCTCCTGGTGTCAGTGAGGACTCTGGCGGCATCATTCTGGATGAGCTGCAGCTGTCTGACTGTTTTTTTTGCCAAGACCGGTGAAGACACCATTACAATAGTCTAGCCTGCTAAAAATAAATGCGGGGACAAGCTGTTCTGTATCTTGTTTAGATACAAATCCTTTAATTCTTGCTGTGTTTTTAAGGTGGCAGTAGCCAGCCCATAAGCAGCCATTTTAAAGAACAGGTGCATTTATCACACAGACTTCAAATGTCAAAATCGGTGTTGAATTTTGCTGAATGCAAATAAAAACGATGCCCCACTTGCTTTTGCCCTGTGTGTGTGTGTGTGTGTGTGTGTGTGTGTGTGTGTGTGTGTGTGTGAGAGCGTGAGGGAATTTTATCGATTTTATCGATTTTACCCCCCCCCAAAAAAAAACTGTAAAACTGAAAGTTTTGTTTTACTTTCACATCCTCTTTTGTCTAAATGAAACCGTCACCGAAACCGTTAGCGTTAGCGTTAGTGCTGGGTGCTGCTCTTCAGTGTTTTTGTTTAGCCTGGAAATGAAAATTTACTTAGAATAACCAGAGGCGGACATTTCAAGACCAGCAAAAAATCCAAACCAGGATTTTGTTTCAACCAACCAGTTGAATATAAAGAGTCACAGTCACAGGGTACGCAACTGGTTGGTTGAAACAAAATCCTGGTTTGGATTTTTACTTTCTGGACCTGAAATGTTTGCCTCTGGGAATAATACTTTAAATATCACAAACATTTAAAAGGTTATTTCATCACATTGGTTTAAGAAACTAAAAATATGTTTTTATTGGCATGGAATGAGGGAGAACTTTGGGCTGATCCATTAATATTTGGGCTTTTTTCATTCCCAACACAACCATGAAATGTCAATGGATCATTCTGGGATAGTGAGTGACAAAACAGATTTAGGGACACTTTAAAAAAAACCAGCAGAGGGAAGCAGGGGGAAAGGCGAGAGGCGGCAGCTGGTCACCTATACAGCCGTAGGACTCCGGAGTGGGATCGGTGTTGTCCTGGCGGTTGAACCCACTGTTGCAAACACAGCCTCCGGAGGTCAGGCACGTGGCGTTGGGGCCACAGGGGTCCTCCCCCCAGCACGAGCTGTGCACTGTGCGAGAGATGTGTGACACGCAGGCTAACTGGCTTCCCCGCTCCGCTATCACTGGCCGCTTCATTTGCACTGCAACTCTCCTCAGTGCATCATCCGGACCACCCAAGTTCGGGAGCAGAGAGGCATAACGATGGATACTTACTGAGAGAGATGCCAGTGTTCAGACCCTGTAAGCAGGGTATCTTCGGCAGCTTGTAGACGTAGAAGCCTCCTGAGCAGGCCGTCTCCATAACACCAATGAAATGCACATAATGTGCATTTCCTTTCCACTGGCAGTAAGCACTGCCTGTCAGGGTTTCATACACAATGTCGGGATGAGTGAAGTTCATGTAGATGGAGCACTGGGTGCCGCTGCGATTCTCCGGGACGCTGCTCTGCACTATGATGTCACCTGCGATCCCCACAAAGCGCAGCCACTTGTTGGAGAGGCCGTCGTCGCACTTGTACTTGGCAAGGGTGGATGAGGTGAAGTCCTTGTTCCGCCAGGAGTCACTAACCAATGTGTACTGAAGGCAGGGGTCTTCTGCTGGGAAAGATGCAGACGAGGACCATGCCAGGGTAGGTAAGATGTCCAGCCAGTGAGACGGGCTCCTCTATGGGGCTTCTCAGCTCTCTTCCCATCCCTCAATGACCCACCACCCTTTCTATCTCTCCTTTTTGCAGGTGCTACTTTTCCTTCATTTTTATCTAATGTGCCTTTTTTATAAGCTGCTTAAAATAACCTTTCCCTTTAAAAGAATGTCAACTACAAAATATATACAACACACCATGTAATTCTCTTAAAATGTACACAGATGCCATTATAATTGGAATATCGTAATAATTAGACAATGACATGCATGTACTTAACGTTGCAAAAATCGTGCTACACATACTTGCCCTAAAGAATTGAAGACAATACATGCACCTTAATAGTTACCATTGCAGTGGCCATCTTGAAGCTGAAGCAGGCAGCCTGTGTGCACAGGTTAGAAAATGCAGAAATATACATTTAATCAACTAACCAGGAATGGTTTACTCAAGGCAAGACAGTAGAGACTTCAATTAGCCAACTACTGCGACTTACCCAGCCACAGAGGGAGACACCAGGAACTCATCTGAAGATGTCTTCTGGCCAAACGGGAGCAGAAGGAGCCGAGCAGTGACTACTGGGATCCTGCAGGGCCTTTGCGAAAAAACACTTTTTGCTTAAATGAGACGTTTTGGGGAGATTTGCATGGGTTGTGTTGACCCTTCCAGGGAGCCACAAGGGCAGCAAGAGCTCATTTGGGTGCTTCCAGTTTAGAGGGAAATTGATAAACAAAACTGAGAAAATGGGCACCCTCAAGGTCTGTGAAAGGGCGTGGGGCGCCCGTGGAGATGCCAAGGGGACTGAGAGACTGAGGCTCAGCAAGTGAAGGAAGACACTGAGGCCCAGCAAGGGGAGGAAGAGACTGAGGCTCAGCAAGGGGAGGAAGAGACTGAGGCCCAGCAAGGGGAGGAAGAGACTGAGGCTCAGCAAGCGGAGGAAGAGACTGAGGCTCAGCAAGCGAAAGAAGAGACTGAGGCCCAGCAAGGGGAGGAAGAGACTGAGGCTCAGCAAGTGAAGGAAGAGACTGAGGCTCAGCAAGGGGAGGAAGAGACTCAGGCTCAGCGAAACCGTACCAACCGAAAACCCACAGCTGCTGCTGGACCTCTGAACATTACAACTGGGCAAAGACTAACCTGAAGCAGCAAGCCAGCTGATGTGTAATGCGTGGGATACGTGGCTCTGTCAGTCCTGAGGGGGCAATGTGTGACTCAGCCAGTTTGTGTGCAGTGCCTGTCACGAGGGTCACCAATCAAATCCCAGATGTCACTTTTAGGCCCCTGAGCGAGACCATTAGCCCCAAATGTGCCAGGGACCGGTTGACCTGCTTTCTCAAAAATATGTGTTGCTTTGGATAAAAAGTGTCTGCTGAACACATGAATATATTCCAAATCAGAACAAACCTTTAGATGATTTTTTGTTGCACAACCTTCCAACTTTTTGATACAAGCAAGAGCAAAGCTTCTTCATAAGTTTTGAGGTTTTCTAGTGCCAGTACAAACTGTAATTAAGTATAAGTTTACTTGCAAATGTACTGGGACCCTCCCTGAATCCATGCAGCGGAGAGGGAGGGGCAGACGCCGGCAAGGTCTCACAATCAAAATCTGAAAGAGGGAAATTTGTCATTGCAGCTACTTTACATAGAACAAAGGGAAATAAATGGAGATAAACTTCTCACCTCTAACCCTTTTCGTCAGTTTTCTGCGTTTGCTTTGCAAATTTTATCAAGCACTGTTGCAATTGAAGCCCATGAAAATACACAACGAACAAGCGAAAAGAATCAAAGAAATAGAGAACAGGAAACTGGAGAATACCGCTGTACATTCCCATGTCGTGCTGTGAGAATCCTTTTACCTGACACTCATAAACACACAGAGTGATGCACTATCACAGTTGAATACAAAAGAAACAGGCCAAAGAAAGATTTTATTGAAGAGAAACGTGACCCATAGTTCTGATCCGAATTCCGAGCTATAATTTATTTCACAGTCGGGTTACTTACAGTGCTGCATCTCCCCCACCGCATCCATGCACGCCTACACACAAACAGGTAGTGAATCAATGTGTAATAAAAACAAATACAGGACTCAGAAACCGAATGAAGGTGAATGCAAAATAATTGTCAAAAAAGACTTCATTGTAATGGTACTTTTGTGTATGTACATCTACGCACTACAACTAGAAAGTAATAAAAGCAAAAAGTAGCATTCCTCCCTTATAATTAAAATGCATAACACATAAAATATTTACGAACCTTATGATGAAAAATAACAATAAAACGAAAAACAACTAATAAGACAGGCCTACTACAGATAATTTACAGCTTAAAAGTGAATCAAATACATAAATTCTATGAAATATATGTTTAAAACAAAGCACGGGTTCGTTATATGAAATCATCATGTATTACATCAAGAATATTAGGTTAAAGAAAACCAGCGTTACAGAAGGTAAATTATTCAAGTTACGTCGCTCAAAGTCACCTCTTATTATTCAAAACAGCGCATTGTCCAGCAGAGCAGCGCGCCCTGCCGGCGAACGTTAGTACTAATATTTAATTTCCCGGCTGAAATACAGGATATTTCACGAGACCTTTATTACATCCATTGTCTTTATAAGCGTTTCAAATAAACTGTACTGGTGTATATTATACAGGACATTTCTGTCTGGCTACAGTCAGAGCATAAACTAAAATACAATGATGGAGTTTAGCTCCTAATTTTTTTTATTTAAAACTTAATTGTGGTTTAAGTAGTTGGGTTAGGTAAAACTGGTTTAAGTAAATTAAGCAATACTTAAGTATTTTTTGTTTTAAACAGGTAGTTCGAGTATTTTTATGATTCACTTAAATTAATTAAAGTGAGAAATAGAATTCAAACCGTACAGGTATCAAAGCTACGGAAGAGGATTAGGGCCACCATGAAAATATTATTTGAATTCTGACTTTAACGTCAGAATTCTGAGAAAAAAGTCAGAATTCTGACATTAAAGTCAGAATTCAAATAATATTTTCATGGTGGCCCTAATCCTCTTCCGTACAAAGCAGTAGCGATTATGATTTTATCAATCCATCCATCCATAAATACATCCTTACATACATAATACACACACAAACTTTCTGTAACTACATGTCTTATTCAGGGTCGGGGTGGTTTGGAGTCTATGGGAGCAAGGCAGGGAATAACCTAGAATGGGGCGCAAACCCATCGCAAGTGCCTTATGATTTTAGACGGATTAAAAAAAAAATAATGCGACAGTATGGCCCGGAACCAATGCACGTAAGGCTTTGTTTCCTAGCGGTCAGTAATGCGGACGGACCAGGAACTGTGCGCTGCTTTGCGTTGCCTACAGGGTTTCAGTCAGCTCACATTCAGTGCATTGTTTGTTAAATGCTTATGTTATAGTTTGTTCTAATGTTCATATTTTGCCTGGGTCTTTAGAGTGTGAAACGGACTTAAAGCCAAGGTAAGTCAAACATTTTAGCTTTGAATGCCCGTGGCCAGCAGTCTTCGGTAGTTTATTAGAAGTTGAAGGGTAATGTTGTTTAATAACCTCACTGCTTCGGTGGGCTGATTTCTACATTTACGTTAGCATTAACATTTATTTATTTATTTACCAGACGCTTTTATGCAGAGTGACGTACAATCGAGAAAGACCTCGATTGACTATAAATAATTTAAATATTTTTCTGTTTGTCCCGTTGTTCAGTTCCCATGAAGATTAGTCCGTGTATCCAGCTACCAAAAAGTAAATCATCTCCTGAGTTTAATATCCTGCAGATTGTGGTTTTTGCCTCGATCCGGAGCAAACATGACTTCACTGGTAAGTCGTGGAAGCACATTTAACACTTGTGATATTTATTTTCGTTTTATGTTAAATAGTGTTCCGAAGTGTGCATATTACTGTGATCCTCCATGTCTTGGCTTCCTAAAGAAAGTCTGTCCGCGTGACGTATTGTGTGTAAGATACCTTCGGTAAGCTGTAACTGTTGTGCTTCACTTCAACATGTGACAGTCCTTTCTTAACGTGATTAACAGGGCAGTAGTAGTTCCTCCTCGATGGAGTACATTGTCCGGGTTCCTAAGTGAGTATCTCCCTCGAGCAGTTGGACTACGCAGACTTCCATGCAGTGCTTGGTGCATGTTGGCAATATAAGTGATTGCAAATGCAGTTTAGCTGTTTCTTTGGGTAGGTTGCCCTCCTTTTGTTGCTCTGTTCAGCTTTGCCTTGATGCTTCTCTCACAGAAACACCAATAAGAGATACAACATCATGGCTTTTAATGCTGGAGACAAGGTGAACTGCTCCACCTGGGCCCAGGTACTGATGCACAAAGCTGCCATCTCTGTGATTTGATAGAACAATGTTTTCCCAACCCGGTCCTTGGGGACCTGCAGACAGTCTACATTTTTTGATCCCTCCAGCACACAGCTTCTGAACTTCCTGGCAAGGAACAACAGTCTGTGGGTCGCCGGGGACTGGATTGGGAAACACTGTAATGGAATATTTACAATCTTTCTGGCTACTAAGGCTGTATGTCCCTGTGCATCCCTTACCTGCCTTCTCCTCCTGCTCCCGGTCTTTGGGGCTTCCAGGCCCGGATGGAGCGGGACATGAGCAACAGGCGGATGTACGGCGAGGAGGAAGTGGTGGAGGGTGCGGCTGGCAGCGAGTTCGGGAAGAAGCAGCGGGAGGAAGCCCGGCGCAAGAAGTTTGGCATCGTCACCCGGGAGTTTCGGGTGGAGGACCAGCCCTGGATCCTAAAGGTCAACGGCAAGGCGGGGAGGAGGTACAGCCCTATGCCCCTACCCCGACTCTGCCGACATGAGCGATAATAGCAGGTATTGCAGTGACAGCTCCTCTTCCAGGTAGAGGTGCACCGATTCCGCATCTTCAGTACCGATACGATTCCGATACATGAACAAGCGGGTATCACCCGATATGGGTACCAATACAATACAGATCTTTTTTTAAACTAGAAAATTAAAATTAAAAAAAATGTATGCCAAAAGAACTATTACAAACGTACAAAATGCACTGTTCCACCTCATTCGTACACCTTGTTTTGGTCATTTTTGAAGCATTTTGCACGTCAATATGAATCTTCCAAGTGAGGATATGCAAGCAGCGAATGCTTAAAATGCCCCACAGTTTTTCTCGTACTGGCAGCAGTGTCCAAACAGCCCAAGCTAGCGACCGCCAAATCATCCGTTGCTCTTTTCATACTACTTGCGTTGTCTCGAAGTTTAATTGGATTTTCCGCTAAATGCTACTCCCACCTCTCAAAACTTTGTTTTTACAAAGATTGCAAATCGCTGTACTAGTAGTTGCCTTTAAAACCGTGAAATACTTTCAGATCGTCGCCCTCTTATCTGATGTACTTAACGCTCCTCCTGCTGCAAAGGGTATGCGCATGATGTCACAGCAGGCAGAAGTCACTGCACTCACACCCACTGAGTGGCAGAAAGACTGGGTGGCAGCATTACGTTCAGGTTAAATGCTGCTAGAACACCTCTAACATGGGAAATAGCTGTCCTGTGATTGACTGTACTAATTGATTTAACAAGAAATGGGAGACTGCCAAACACTAAATAATTAAGTATGGGATGTGGATCAGTCACATATGGCTGATCCCTCTAGGTCTAGATCGGTGCCAATACTGATCCGTTTAATAGGTCTACTTTCAGCCGCAACCAGCTGCAGACCCCTGGCATATTGGGTCCATTTTGTATTCTGCACAAAGCCTGATACCACAATAAATAAGACGGTACCTATAGTAATACTTGGATCCCATCTTGGTCAGTTTGTATGTGCAGTGTCAGAGTGTTGGGTAAGATCTGCCTGAATTGAAATTGTGGAATATTTTCACATTGAAATATCTAGCTGATTTTTAAAGTTATTTTTATTATTTAGAATTAATTTTTATATTTGGACGTTTTGTTTTCACTGCGGGGCGACATGGTGGTGCAGTGGTTAGCACTGCTGCAGTGCCTCACACCTCTGGGACCTGGGTTCGAGTCTCCGCCTGGGTCACATGTGTGTGGAGTTTGCATGTTCTCCCCATGTCATCGTGGGATTTCCTCTGGGCACTCCGGTTTCCCCCCACAGTCCAAAGACATGCTGAGGCTAATTGGCGTTGCTAAATTGCCCTTAGGTGTGCATGTGTGAGTGAATGGTGTGTGAGTGTGCCCTGCGATGGCCTGCCCCCAGTCCAGGGTTGTTCCCTGCCTCATGCCCGTTGCTTCCGGGATAGGCTCTGGACCCCCCGCGACCCAGTAGGATAAGCGGGTTGGACGATGGATGGATGGATGTTTTCACCGCTGCGGACATTCTGAAAATGTGCCTATACTTCGGAGCTTTTTGGGCGCTCTCGACCAGCGCTAGGAGGCCTGCCTTCATCCGTGCCTGCTGTCTTTTCTGTTTACTTACTCGTGTGTTATTCCTGTGTTACTTGCCAGAAGAGTTGTGCTGGCGCCACCCTGTGGTCAGAATATGCCTCTACATATTTATTCCAATATGGATTTTTCATTACAGATCTTTTTTAAATTCAAAATTTTCCAATCTCTTGAATATTTGTTGCAGCACTAATAGACACTGCAGTACCAAAGATGATTTAAAAGCCACTTCAGCTTTATGTGTTTCTTACCTTGAGTCCCCGAGTCAGTCGGCAGTCAGTCTTCTGTGTTTGCACCCACTCACCCTGACTGGAGGTGGCAGTGAGGTAGTGTCTGCCTGCTGCACGCCATCTGGGCCAGTTGGGGGCAGTGATGCAGAGAAACTGACCCCCCGTACATTTCAGGTTCAAGGGCCAGAAGAAGGGCGGTGTGACGGAGAACGCATCCTATTACATCTTCACACAGTGTCCCGACGGAGCCTTCGAGGCTTTTCCTGTGAGCGCCTGGTACAACTTCACCCCATTGGCCAAGCACCGCACCCTCACCGCGGAGGAGGCCGAGGAGGAGTGGGGCAGGTGAGGAGGGCGAGGAGGCGGGAGGGCAGGTGAAGAGACTGGGGTAAGGAGGCTGGGGGGCGTAGTGACATGGGGGACGCAGGATGGGCTGTAGGACAGGCCTCTGACTAACCCAACGGCCTCCTCACTGCCCCCACCTCCTGCAGGAGAAACAAGGTGGTCAATCACTTCAGCATCATGCTGCAGAGGCGGCTGCGTGAGCAGGAGCGTGGCGATGATGACGAGGAGGAAGGAGAAAAGGCTGGCAAGAAGAAGAAGAAGAAGGGGGACAAAGGAGGAGACCTGCGGATCCATGACCTGGAGGACGATCTGGAGATGAGCAGTGATGACAGTGACAGCAGCGTGGGAGAGGGTGAGGAGAGGGGTGTGGCCTGACATGGGGGTGGGGCCTGAGGTGAGGGGTGTGGCCTGACATGGGGGTGGGGCCTGAGGTGAGGGGTGTGGCCTGGGAACATCAACATTATTTTGATGTCCTATGAATTTTAAGTTTTACTTTGCTTATATTTTGTGCAAGGCTGCTTATGCGGATAAATGAGGCAGCAGCACCAACTGGCATGAATTTCCCGCCTGCTGTGTGGTTATTTCCGGCTGGCTGCCCCATGTGCCGCTATCCCCGTGCAGATGGGGAGAGTAAGCCAAAGGCCAAGAAGGAGGCGGCTAAGAAGGGAAAGGGGGGGAAGAAGAAGAAGAAGAAAAAGGGAAGCGACAGCGAGGCCATGGAGGACAGCGACGACGGCGACTTTGAGGGTCTCGAGGTGGACTACATGTCAGATGACAGCAGGTGAGCCCCCAGCCTTAAAGATCTCCTTTCTCCCCCTCTGTGGGCTTAGGGGCTTGGGGGACGTCCCGCTCTGGCCCCCCGGTGCAATCAAATCTCTCTTTGCTGCAGCTCCGACGAGGACGAGCCGGAGAAGGTGAAAC